TAAAATATAAATTAAAAAAAAAAAATGAAAAAGAAAAAAAAAACGTCGTTTGTTTTAGATGTAACTTGATGCGTTTGCTGTTGTTGTTGTTGTTGTTTTGTTGTCGTTGCACATAGCTCAGCGTCTAATTAAAGTGAAAATGCGCCAGCTATATACATACAGATATATGTATGCATATACATACATACATAGATAAGTATCTGAAGTTATATATATCTGTATCTGAAGTTATATAGTGAAGTTAGCCAGTTACAAACGAAGCACCATCGCTTGCTTGGCTGCAGTTCGAGTTTATTTTTAGATATTATATATCTATGGGTTAAGATATCATGTCATATAACATGATATGATATGATATACATATGTTATATGTGCTAGTCTTTTGCAAAATCCAGAGCAATGCACTGGCCTGGAATGCAGCTGCAGCCGATATTAATCAATAAATAAATCAGGCAAGAATAAGTTAGGATTGGGAATTTCTATAATGAAGATAAAGATATATATAGTATATAGATGATAAGTTGATGATGATGATATATGTATGTATATTAACTGTTATCTATATATTGTATAAATAAATGCTGTATAAATTGAAGCTAGTTTACTCTAAAGAGAGAGAGTGCGAGCGAGACAGCACTTATTCTAATGCATTCTTCTCTATTTTCACTTGCAGCAATGTCATAATGGAGCCAATGACCATGTTGGTATTGGCCTTCCAGCTGCTGGCGCTCTTCTCGATAGCCGGCGCGCTGTTGATCTATTTGATATGCAAGGTGCGCGAGGAGAGCCAGGTGGGTAACGGTGAGCTGCCCGCCAGCCGCGTGGTGCTGGTGACGAGCGCCGACACGGCGCTGGGCCTGCAGCTGTGCACGTATCTGGCGAACAAGGGCTGCCGCGTCTTTGCCGGCATGAAGGAGGCGCGCGACTCGCTGCCCGCCAAACTGCTCTGCGGCTGGATGAAGATACGCGAGTATAGCGAGGAGCCCATCAGTGGCACGATTATACCCATGCGCCTGGACGTCACTCGGGAGGATGTGCTGCGCGAGGCGACCATTGCGATGGGCGCCCACCTGAATGCGAACGAGCGTGGCATTGCGGCGGTCATCAACACCAGCGGCAGTGTGTACCGCGGACGCGTCGAGTCCCAGGATGTGCAGCAGTGGGAGCAGATGCTGAAGACCAACATTCTGGGCACGCTGCGCGTGGCCAAGGCTTTCGTCGGCTTGCTGCGGCCGACACGCGGCCGTCTCCTCTACCTGGGCGGCAGCAGTGCCGGCGGCAGCATGGGCGGCGATGGGCTCGTCGCGTTCAATGCATCACGCGTCGCCGTCGAAAAGTGTGCCGAGGAGCTGCGCAAGGAGCTGCAGCCATATGGCGTCAGCATCGTTGCCCTGGACACCTGCGGCATGACCGCCGAGTCGCTCTACAAGGCGCCCGTGGCGCAGAGTAAGTAGAAGCCGCTGCCTCAATCTCTAACTGGTAATCGTATGACTCCATTTTTTCCGTTTCATCTGCCAGCCATGTCGCAGTGCCCGGGCGCACCCACTCAGTACACTGCCGATGTGCTCAGCTCCAGCGCCTTGCAGATGATCGAGCGAGCGCTCTGGGATTATGTGCCGCAGCAGCGCTATGCGCTGCTCTCCCATAACAAGTATCAATTCACGTTGCCATGCCGCTCCTCGCTGCGTCTACACCGAACCAGCAGTGAGGCCGCCACGCAGTCCGTCTAGACAGATGAGGAGGAGGAGGAGGAGCAGACAGAGTTAAAGAGAGAGGGAATAAAACAGAGAGAGAGGGAGGGCGAGTTGATGGAGCTACATATGTGTCAATTTGGGCATGGATCGCAGCTTATATACTTATACAATACTTTTTCTGTACATACGTATAAAACACACACACACACACCCACACACAGACAGACAGACAGCTACACACACACAAAGACACACTAAATTCGTTTAACATTGTATTCAGTTATCTATAATCTATATACGCCCAACTGTTTTAACATTTTTTTAATGTTTATATATTTAATATTTTTTTTGTGCCCTTTTTTTTATAAAGATATATAAATATATATACACATACATACATAGATATATATATGGATATATATAAATTGACAATTTGTTTGCATTTTGTGAATTTATATAGTTTAATGATTTATATATAAATATATATCTATATATGTACTATATGCATATCTGCAACAAAGCAAACATATCAAAATAAACATGCATACATTTATATATACATATGTTTGTGCAAATATATATATGTGTGTCTAAACTTTGTAATTATTTATTTGAGTTTTATTGTATTTTAACGACTGCCGTCGAGGGCTTCTATTCGTATTGGGAAATGAAATCGTAACGCAGCACTGAGGCACTATAGGTCTCTCCAGCATGCGCCTGCGGCTTTTCAGCCGTGCGTCCTGGCAGGTGGATAAGCACATCCGCACCGACAATGCTCTGCAATCGGCTGCTGATCTGTAATAGTTTTCTCAATTTGTTTATGTTTCGTTTCTCATCAATATTTGCTTCGACTTTACCTGGTTCCCATTGATTCTGGCACACAACTTTCCATTAATGCTGGTCACCGAGGCGCGCATATATTCAGGACGGCTATCCAGATCGATGACATCATTGAGCAACTGCAAGGGAGTTAATGGAGATTCTATTAGGCTGTTGGGAAGGTATGGGCATAAACCTGGTGCAGATGCAGTTGGAATAACTTAAATGCATCAACTAATAATGCAAGGAGCCTAAAGCTAAGCTGATCAAATACATTCTAATGCAATGATTAGAATAGAATATAATATATACATATATTTAATAGTAGCTGATCAACATAAATCAATTAGCATCATACAGAACATTCAAGTCTGCAAAGAGAGCTAGCACGATGCTATATGCATATAAAGATAACACAAATTACCAAGATAAACAATTTCGAGCATGATTTGCTAGGTGAATTCAGTTTATGCCAACTTATCAGCCACGTTTATCTATGGCATCATCATAACTAGGCGCGCCTAATCTACATTTTAGCTTAGTTTGCTACATAAACGGAATTTCTTTATGATTTTAAAGCATTGACGCGATAGCAAAAACAAAAACAAACTTAAAGAAAAGTTTAAATATTTAAAGTGTCTTTTAAAGTGTTTCTTATCGCATTTTGGAAGAGGCTCTAAAAAGATTACGTTAGCGCGTCATATACATATGTATATACAAATATGAGTTGATTGATCGATTCCTATCATCTGTCATAGTTGAAGGGCTAATCTAATCTACCTCAAGAATTATATACAAATTGCAAAGCAAAAAAGTTTCAGAATTTTACATGTTTCAGAGGCGGGTTTTACACTTACTGAGATATTAATTATGGGCAGGGGGCATTTGACACGCTCCCAGCCATCGGCCCAGCGGAGGGCGGGCAAGGCGAACAGATGGAATGTGACAAAGGCGGACACCGGATTGCCGGGCAGCCCGAAGAAGTATTTGTTTCCTCTGCTGGCAAAGGTCATCGGTTTGCTGCAGATACAAGAATTCAGTTAGCTAATTAGATAAGTCTTCATCGTAATTGCAATCGTGACCAACCCGGGCTTCATGTTGACGCGTCCGAAATGCAATTCAAACTTTAGCTCCTCCAGCACTGGCTTGATGTAGTCCTTGTCGCCCATCGATACGCCACCGCTGCAAATGACAAAGTCCACGGTGTCAAACAGTGTGGACAGGGTGCTCCTGATGGTGGCCAAGCTGTAAGATGATTTAATTAGTATGTTGGTCTATATGGTTCATATAGTTATGATCACCCACTCGTCGCCCAGCACAAGCTTCTGCGTGCAATCGAAGCCAAAGTAGAGCAACAGCTCCTCCAGCATTGTCGTATTCGAATCATAAATTTTGCCAGGCACTGCCGGCTGGTGGGGTGCCAGCAGCTCGCTGCCGGTTGAGATGATGCCCACTTTGGGCTTGCGCCGCTGCTGCTGAAGGCCAACGGAGGCCAGCAAAGATTTGTAGACAACGGGCGAATAGTCCGCAGCTGGAAACACTTTGTCACCCTTGCGCATGTCGTGGCCAATAGGACTATAAGAAATTGAATGTAATGAATATAGCCAAACAAAATTGGATCAACTTAGGTCTTACCGTATATCCAGGCCAGCTTTTGGTTCGACCAGTATATCAACAAGACTCTCTTCGCCATATTTGTCGCGCTGCAACAGTCGAGTGTCCTCCACCTGGACAACGCAGTCCGCGTGCGTCGGCACCGGCGCGCCTGTATTGATCTTGAAGCACTCATCCTCCTGCAACGGATGCTCATTAACCTGCAGTTGAATTAAAGCCGTTAATAGGCTATCCACTGATATGTATGGAGATGGACTTGACCTTATCACCGGCAGCAATGCAATCCACGACTCGCTTGGTACCCGAAAAGCCAGTAGATTTCATTGCATAGCCGTCTTTGATGGACGCCCGAAAAGGAGGTATATTGACTGGTGAGCGCAACTGGTCCATCTGTTGCTTGCTCGCGTTGCTGCGCTGCACCACGCTTAGTATTGTGTCCAGTGCCTGATGGACGGGCACCATGGGAAACGGCGAATTGCGATCGACGTCATCTCCAGCGCCCGTCTTGTGCGGACAGACGTGATCACGCTTTACAGGCGAAGGCACTGCAGCCTCACTTTGAGCTGTGCCCTGAACCTCGGCGTGCGTGCGCGCCACGAGCGCCACATTGTTGCCAATCAGATGGAGGGCATGTGGCAGCAGTTCGCGTACCGCCTCAAAGCATTCAACCACAGCCTTTTCGCTGCCTGGAAAGTTCAACACGAGCGTGTTGCCGGCAATTCCACAAACGCCTCGTGATAAGGCAGCAAATTTGGTTTTCTTCAGAGAGGTCAAGGCGATAGCCAAGGTCAATTGATTGCAGTCCTTGTCGAGCAGTGGTTTAGTCGCCTCAGGCGTGACATCACGCGGAGCAAAGCCAGTGCCTCCGGTGGTAATAATGACGCGCACATCATCTCGATCGATCCATTTGCGCAGTTCGCGCTGTATCAGATCACGCTCGTCGGGCAGTACGGCGGCTATCACCTGCGAGTTGTCAAAGGATTCGGCAATTAGTGCCATCAAACGTGGACCACTGCGATCCTTAGCCGGCTCATGGTAACAGGTGTCACTAACTGTAATCGTAATCGAGTTGTGAATGCGGCTGGCCAAATATTTGAATATAGCTTACTTGTTAGAACTCCAAAAGTAATCGACCTCATGGCTACATTTATATAATGTGAGTGAGCATGCAGCGCTTGTTGCTTTCAATTAAATTGTTTAATATAGCGTTTAGCACTCTCTCAAATAATTGTTCGATTGCTTTGACCGTTTTGAGTGGGCCCCTTTTAGATCTTTTTTACGAAACGAGTGTGTACACACTGACAGTTCGCCGTTTGAAATATAAATCTGATTTSATAGGCGAAATATTTATTTACATCTATGTATGTATGTATATAAATATATTTTTAAAAAACAATCACTTGCGCTAGTGATCTTAGTCTTACAACCCCTATTCCATCACTTAGTAAAGCTTTTAGAAGCTCCTCAAAAGAACTTTTAGATCGCTTTGGCTGTTTTAAGCGGCAAAGCGCCTATGCATTTTTAGTACGTTTTTACAACGCTGAGTGTGTAGCCACAGGTTGTCCGCCGTTAGAAAATTGCAGCTTAAAACCATACATTTTTATTATATACAAGTACATATATATGTACGAGTATATATAGTAACAGCCGGCATAATGCTAATGCTTATGGTTTATTTACACTATAATATAACAATACAAAAAAAAAAAGGGGGATATTTATCGTAACAATGAAATGAATGTCACATTGCTTCACTGGCCGTTTTCATTTAGTAGGGATCTCCTTGGCGCGTTCCTCTACCAGTGGATCGTATCCGGATGCCATTTTCTCCTTAAACTGTTCATATGTGCGTTTACGGTCAAAGTGTTTCACCCATTGACCGGGACAGCCTTGCTCGAATGCTTTACGCATTTTCTGGCAGGCACTTGGCACCTTTTCACCGCTTGTTGAGCTGTGCTTGGGCGCATTCTCGTCCAGACACTTCCAGTATTCGTCACGCATGGCCCAACACTTGGCGCGTTCCTCTTTATTGGGGAAACTCATTTTTGGCAGTGATTAAATTATTGATGTAGTTGACTTTGATTCCCGTGCCGCTAGTCGGTATTTTCTTTTCAGATGTTGAAGGCGATAGGCACTGTCTCTTCACACACTATGTGGCCAGTCAATATATCTATTTATCAACAACTCAAATTGTGTTTAATGTTATTTATTGTTTAACAAATTCACAAAAACCAACCTCAAAATTACAAAACATACAATCGCCGACACAGTGTGCCCAGATGTTAAGTACTAACCATAACAGCTGATTAGACAGAAAAAAATATTCAATGCAGTGTTGCATTGGATATATCGGCGCTGCAATTCAAATGACTGGCCGTTAACAGTTGAGGTAATAAGACAACGATTTCGCTTTTATTACAATTTATTTGATTTAATTAATATCTCAATGACTTATATTTAACATTATTGGTATTAAATTTCAACTAATTTTTAAGGTGAACTACTTAAATAAATTGTATATATTCATAAAAATTTTAATTTTTTTTAAATAACGAAAATGTAAACTAAAAAAAAAAAGAAAAAAACAGAACAAAGCAAAACAATAACAATAATAATCATAATGAGTAGTGACTACTTAAATTCTAAATGGTGTGCATCGAAACCGTTATACATATACCATATGTAAATGTCGCTTAAATGTTATACAAATTACGTATAGAAAATGCTTTCCGAGTGCAAATGAGAGCGCAATAAATGCTCCGTTATTTGGACTCTAAAACACCTACGTCTAAATATATATATTTATGTAAATTTTTTTTTTTTTTTGTGTGCATGACACAATTCAAGTGAACCCTAGGAACACTGCAAATCTCAATGCGATGACAGTGTTCGTGTTCTCTTTTCATGGTACAGCAATAAAAATATATATTATTAGTATAAATGTATGTAGATCGTATAACTAAGCTTGGGTATTTGTGTATGTGTGTGTGTGTGATATTACATTTCAGCAATGATAACTTATAATTTTATTCATATTCCTAGTGTACATACATACAAACATATAAACAATTTATATCCACACTTAAGTATATATATGTATAATGTATGTAATGTTTGTATAAGTATATGTATGTGTTTAGTATATGAATTCTCAATATTCAAGTATTATACATTTCTTACTAGCTGTTGATGTGATTCGTTAGACGCAAGGATATGATTAGAACTGAAATGAATGAAGTGCTCACATCTAAAAATGCATTGCAGTCAATGTTTCTTTTGTTTTTTTTTCCTTTCTTGTTTTTGTTTATTATTATTATTATTACTATTATTATAGTGTGTTCTATTCCTGTAGTACCATGTCTAGCCATAGTAGCCCCTGTACTCCTATTAAGTTGGGGTCTAGTTTGGGTATCTTTGAAAGCTTTTCCAGGCACTTGTGGCTAACGAGCGCAAAGCTTAATTTGGCCAATTACAGTTACTGTTAACTGTGTTAACACAGTTAACAGTAACAGCTCTGCTTTGCTGTTAAGACTATGAACAAAACACGGCATTGTTCTCAATAGGCGACAGCAAATACATTTACAATAGACTTTGTGTGTGGGAGTATGTGTATGTATGTATGTGTGTGGGTGTGTGTGTGTGTAAAACATGTTTTAGCTACTATCAGTACCGTATTAAGCACAAACATAAATTACAATTCCGATTCCGAGTTTGCTATGCATGACATATAATTATTATTATAATTTTTGTATAGCTTATTTTT